ATGAATAGCTTATATTTTGACACATGAATTTAGACACATTGAATATCTACTTCTGTTCTAAGTGGGCAAGCAAGGCAACTGACACCTATAGAGAAATTCAACAAAATACAAGCATCTATTGAATGCTAATAAAGCGAGCATCCAATTTCATTTCTGAGGAGCAAATCACTGATTTGGGGACTTTTATTTTTAATGTCTTAATTTTATGGTAGTTATTTCTAAAAACATTATTTCTCTCTTCATTTTTTTAATTATAAAAGGATATATATCCCAGGAAGTAAGAATTATTTTGCATACTGTAGTCTATCTTTACCATTTGATCATTAGCACACAGCTTTCCCTGCTATGACTCTGGTGCCCTCTCCATTTTCCCCTCCTCACTTCTCCCTTCAAAGAAACAGTGCTGCAACGTTAGCAAACGCTTCTCTCCTTTCTCCCTTTGGCTCGATGTCTCCACAGCCCCCATATCATGGCCCTGTCCCCCTACCTGGACATTCTGACATTATCTCTTCTTCATCAAAGAAGAGCCATCCTGCCATGGAAATTCCAGCTTGCAGACACTCCCTTGCTCTTGTTCTCATGCTTACTCTTTTACTCTCCCTTTCTCTTGAGCAATAAATGGCTCAGTCAATAATTCTGTTTGAATTTAATTGACTATGTGTACACTTCCAAGCCTAGATCAATTATTCTTTGGGAAGTTAGGCTTCTCAGGAGCAATCCTGTGCTGAGTTGCATCACTGGCAGCTGGAAATAAAGACTGTAAATGAAAAAAAAATGTGAGAGAGCAGGGCAGAGGGAAAGATGGACTTCTCAGGGTAAGGGTGGAGAGAAATGATTCCAGTGAGTTGGACTTTTGTTTCTTGACTCTAGCATGTGTGTACAGGGGAGGGGGGAGATGCAGTGTTTTGAAACTGTTTATTAAAAACTTTTTATAAGTTTTTAATTTTTTATAAAATTTGATGTTCTCCTTTCTTTCCTTCTCTGAAATTCTCAAAGATTGGGACAAAGAATTCATGAAGCTGCCTCTGAAGAGAATATTTCTTATATTCAAAAAGTGTTTAATAAGTTTTTTTTTTTTAAGTGCTACTTTGTCAAGGCATTAACAGGGCTGGTGG